GTTAATTGATGAAAAATATAATGTATATATGCTGTATACTAATTGTAATATGAGATTAGTCTAAAATTAAAAAAAAAAAAAAGAATTTCCTTATGTTGGTCCTTATTTTAATTTACTATAAAAATTAAAAATTAAAAATTAAAAAATTCTATTTTTGTATGTTTACGTAACTTTCAGTAGTTTGCTATGACATAGTTAAAGAAAATAAAAATAATTTAAGTAAAAAAGGTAAAAGAAAGAAAAAAAAGGAAAGAAAGATAAAAGAAAAAAAAATCTTCTCAAAACAAATGAAAAACACCGTAACAATTTTTAAGGGGTAAAACATATCAAAACAGCCGCCCAAGAATTGTTGCGGTGATTTTAAACAATTCAAAACAAAAAAAAAAATGGGGTTTGTAAATAAATAATAGGTTGTAACCTCACTTTTATCTCTCCCACAAACCAAACAAAATTCCACAGTAAAGAATAAAACCCTTCCTTTCTTTTGCTTCAGCCCCCATTTTACAGTACCTCACCCATCTCTGTAAATTCTCAGCCATGGCTATCACATAAGAAAAAAAAAAAAAAATTCTTTTTCTCTTTTCCTTATCTTCAACGAATTTTACTATCTTTGCACCTCTTTGTTTCTTCTCTGTTCAATTCCAAATGCACAAATCTGGTTAGACACTTAATTTTCGCCTGAAAAAAAAAATGGATATTGCACAAGTAACTCTTTCAAATAACTCAAATAACTCTAGAAGGAAAATCCTTGACCCAGAATCATGGAGACTTAGAGCGTCAAATCGGAAGTGGTTGAAGAATATGAGATGTTGCTTTTCCCTTCTGATGGTTCGAAGGCACAAGAAATTTTACAAACAGTCAATGCTTTTGGGTGGAGGTCTTTTGTTCAGTGCCCGGGAGACTACAATCGAAACATAGTTCTGGAGTTCTACAGCAATCTTAATCCAGTAAGTCGTACTTCAACCGTGAGAGGTAAAATCATTCGCTTTGATGCTGAATTTATAAATGATATTTTTAACTTGAGAAACACTGATGATAGTGAAACCAAGAAATTTATGGATGATCGGGATGTAGATTTTGTAAGACATGTGTTGGGCGAGTTGTGTCCTAATGGTGTTAAAGTTTACTCGGGAACTGTTGAACGCCCTTTGAGTATTAACTGTTCATGTATGCTTGAATTAGCAAGAGCCTGGGGTAGATTCGTTAGTTCTTGCTTAATCCCGTATTTGAATACCTCTAACTACAATATAGAACGAGTTCTTTTGATATATGCGATTATGCATGAATTGCCTGTGAATGTGGGTGGTTAGTTGTCGGATCAAGTCTGATTGTGAATGCTTGTATTTTCCGTCAACTATCACTCGTTTGGCCTCCTTATTTGATGTGGATTTGAGTGGTTTACCAAAGACTGAAAATTCCTACTTCATCGGTAGTGACTTTCTCCATAGTTTGAGACCTCCAACTGGTCCAACTCAAGTTGAACAGGAACAAATGCTTGTTGATAGTGGAAACGAAGCGGAGAATGAGCCAGAACAACCTCTTAATTCAGAAATTGGAACCACGCCTACCATCCTCGTTCCTGATATTCTGGTTAGTATGCAAGAACTGTTACAAAGGCATACAGAATTGATGAATAGTTGGGAGATTTTCAGAAGTGAACAAGCAGTGCGTGAAGCAGTATTGTCAGCACATGTTGAACATATCATGAAAGAATTAACGGAAACTAGAAACACTCATAATCTCATATAAACCAATTTGCATATACCTCTCCCATAATCTACACAATAGGAACTGTGGTGTGCAATATTGCTAACACTATGAGAAGTTCTGATATTCCTAGTTTTTTTCCCTTATTTTACTGTTCCAGGTGGTGGTAGCCTTAATGTTACAGGTGCAAATTTCTATCAGGGAACACATGTATTTGTACCAACACCACTTCCCACAACAATAATGGATTTAAACAGGGGAAGTGGATCTACACCAAGTCCGATGACATTTAGCAGTCAGCCCCTTTCCGTTTTCTCTAATCTGGAAGCTAACCATGGAGTTGCTACAACTGGAGGTTCGTCAGTTCCTATTCAACAAGACAATGGTTTTGATGTTAATACATACCTTGATCTCTTTCAAGGTAATGGTCATGAAAATTAAGAATGGAACAACAAATTGTTCATTCAGGAGANATTTTAACGATTAATTTGTATAACCGAGAGGAGTGCATTTAACTGTTCAACTATAGTAATAATATATAAATGTAATCGTGAGAGGCATTTATACATTTATGAGAAATAGAAGTTGAAGGATAAATGTATCTACTATATAATAAAAATATTAAGTGAAGTCAGGATCCCACACCTTTTTATTATATTTGTGAAAAATAAAATATTTTCTATTGCTCTGTTCATGTATTTTTAGTTAGTTAATTCACAACTCAACTCTTTCTGATTTTCTCAAATAGTAATTAAAACAAGAAACGTCTGTAGAATAGATAAACCAATCTCTGTGGGTTCGACATCTTTCTATACTATAATTTGACAGAGTGCGAGTTTAATTTATACACACGCCAGACACTCGTCAACTAAGTTCGTATGAGGTTTTAAGACTTGTTGGTATGTTTGGTTAAGGTCCCGAGGGCCTCGGGTTGATTTAGGGTGGTTAACGGACCAAGTTTTCAAGTTGAAGAGCTGTTGAAGTTTGAGGACTGCTGGTGTAATCGCACCTGCGGAGTGGACACCGCAGGTGCGAGCCTGCAGAAGCGGGCAAGGAAGAGATGAGCAGAGGTCGCAGGTGCAAAGATTCTCCCGCACTTACGTGGTCGCAAAAGCGCAGTGATGGTCGCAGATGTGGGTGAGTGCGTAGGTGCGATGGGCTGTTCCGCACATGAGATTGCGCATATTCGGTCCAAGGCTAAGATACTAGAAAACCAGTAGAAGATTCTCAGTACCCAGACTGATTTGGTAAAGGCAGTGAGTTCACATGGCAAGGCTCTAAAGGAGCTTGCCAAGGAGCACAAGAAGCTGCGCAAGACACGGGCCTCCAGGGAGTCCGTAAAAGAGCTGAGGACGGATGTGGATAGACTGAAGGCAGACCAGCTGCCTTTAGATATATTGTTTGAGGACCCAGCTCCAGTAGCATTTCCAGTAGCAGCCACAGATCCGGAGCAGACACAGAGGCCTCCGAAGAGGAGGAGGACTATCCCTAGAGCAAATGATGCCATCGTCCAGTTGGCGNTGTAGTATTGGAAATTACTCTAGTTCCTGGTTTTTAATTAAATAGGAGGAATTATTCTCTTGAATATTTCTTTCTATTTTCTTATTTAATGGGCAAGATTATTTCCGTTGTCGGTATTGGCTCCAATATGGAGTAACTTTTCTTGTGTTGGGAAAAATGACGGATCTTAATATTTTTATACAATAGTAGATATTATTCCTCAATTTCACATGTTTGAGCTGAAGCTTATTATTTAAATTTTATCTGCTTTATAGTTAGGTGTTATTTAATTTTGTTAACATCTATCTATTTCGTACCACATATTAACTTCTTACTAATTCTGTAATCGAAAGAGGCAGAAGAAGTAATACTTAATTTTGGTATTGATAGATGTTAACCTATATTTAGTGACATCTAGCTAATATATGTTAAAATTGATTCTACACTTATTTGTAATCGAAAGAGGCGAATGTTATAGTAATCAGTTATAACAAGTAGGGTAACCGAAAGAGACTTACTAAAAAAGGAGAATACTTTAGTTCAAGTATATATTTCTAGTTCTTTAATATTACTATTTTAACGATTAATTTGTATAACCGAGAGGAGTGCATTTAACTGTTCAACTATAGTAATAATATATAAATGTAATCGTGAGAGGCATTTATACATTTATGAGAAATAGAAGTTGAAGGATAAATGTATCTACTATATAATAAAAATATTAAGTGAAGTCAGGATCCCACACCTTTTTATTATATTTGTGAAAAATAAAATATTTTCTATTGCTCTGTTCATGTATTTTTAGTTAGTTAATTCACAACTCAACTCTTTCTGATTTTCTCAAATAGTAATTAAAACAAGAAACGTCTGTAGAATAGATAAACCAATCTCTGTGGGTTCGACATCTTTCTATACTATAATTTGACAGAGTGCGAGTTTAATTTATACACACGCCAGACACTCGTCAACTAAGTTCGTATGAGGTTTTAAGACTTGTTGGTATGTTTGGTTAAGGTCCCGAGGGCCTCGGGTTGATTTAGGGTGGTTAACGGACCAAGTTTTCAAGTTGAAGAGCTGTTGAAGTTTGAGGACTGCTGGTGTAATCGCACCTGCGGAGTGGACACCGCAGGTGCGAGCCTGCAGAAGCGGGCAAGGAAGAGATGAGCAGAGGTCGCAGGTGCAAAGATTCTCCCGCACTTACGTGGTCGCAAAAGCGCAGTGATGGTCGCAGATGTGGGTGAGTGCGTAGGTGCGATGGGCTGTTCCGCACATGAGATTGCGCATATTCGGTCCAAGGCTCGTAGAAGCGGAGGCAACTGGGTAGGTGAATTTCGCAGAAGTGGAGATTCAATCGCAAAAGTGGTTCTGCAGGTGCGGATAAGTGGCCGCAAGTGCGAAAAGCCTGGGCAGGATATAAACGTTGGGTTCCAAGGGTTTTATCATTTCTTGACTTTGCAAACTCGGAATTGGGCGATTTTTTTAGAGAGATTTCGAAGGGATTCTTGAGGTACGTCACTTGTGGTTAAATTTCTTCAATAATTATGTTTCCCCATTGATTTTCCCACTAGTTGGTGCATTTTTTAGGTGTAATTTGGGGGTTGGAGGCTAGGGATTTGGAGACTTAATTTTGGGGATTTGAGTGGCGATTTGGTATCGGATTTTGATGAATTTGGTATGACTAGACTCGTAGTTGAATGGGCTTTTTGGTTTTGTGTCACGACCCCCGTTCACCCTCCATGAACATGTCGTGATTGCACCTAGTTCCTACAACTAGGTAAGCCTAACAGTGCGGAAATAACAATTCAACTTGAGGAATAATCAATTAAAACCGAAAATATGGAAAATAACAACTGAATATAAGGCCGCCCGGCCTATACAACTCTAAAGATATGCGGAAGTCTACAACTCAATCCCAAAACCCGGAAACTCACGGGAAACACAGGCTAATAGAATTACCATAAGTACTCTAATCTCCAGAATATCTACATCAAGAGTATGATAGGATAAAAGCTCTACAACTAGAATAAGGAAGAAGACTCTTCGGTCTGCGGACGTTGCAGATATACCTCGAAGTCTCTGTGTATCTCCTCGCTTCAAGGATAGTGCGCCTGAGAAGAGGTACCTGGATCTGCACATGAAAAACATGCACAAGAAGGGCATGAGTACACCACAGCGGTACTCAGTAAGTGCCAAGCCTAACCTCGGTTGGGTAGTGACGAGGAAGGTCAGGGCCCTACTGAGGCAAAATATAATAATGATAATTAACAGTATGAAAATCTGACAGAAATAATGAGTACAGCAGCGAAATAAGGCAGGTCAACGAGGCAATAACAACTACAAAAGAACAGAGTAAACACAGAATAAATACAGCTCATTATCAATGATAACAATGAGCGTCTCCCAGGATACCGTCCTGTAGCCCTTTTCTCAACTGTCCAGTGGATCTCCCAGGATACCGTCCCGTAGTCCATCATATGTGTATATCCGAAGGATCTCTCCGGGATAACATCCCGTAGTCCAACTATCAATGTGCAGGGGGACCTATCGGGAATCTAACCTGCATTCCCAAAGTAAATGTACAGGGGGATCTATTGGGAATCTAACCCGCAGTCCCAAAGTAAATGTGCAGGGGGATCTATCGGGAATCGAACCCGCAGTCCCAAAGTAAACAAACAAGGGGGGGGAGCTACCGGAATCCCACATCCGTAGTCCCAATGTAAATGCGCAATCACAACCAGAAGGTACACGGAAACGAAGTACAAAAGACAAGCAACAGGTAGTACTGGCCTAGCATGCTTCACGTAGTACAGTTAAGGCAACTTAGGCAATTAGGCAAGTTAAATCAACTAAACATGCCTTTCTAATCTAACACAGGTTATAACTGCAAGTAAAACAAGGCAAATATGAAGGAAACTCAGTCTCAATATCTTAAGTAAAAACCGGATTTTTCAACAATTAGCTCAAGTACGCGCTCGTCACCTCACGGACAAGGCACTCAATTACCACATATCATATCCTAAGGGGAAAGGTCCCCCACACAAGGTTAGACAAGCCACTTACCTCGAATCGGCACCAAAATCAACTCGACATCACACTTTTGCCACGAGTATCCGACTCCAAATGGCCCAAATCTATTCAATTCAATTACCTATCGTAAGTAATATTGCAAACAACTGATTCCACTATTAAATTTAAAGCTAGGACGCAAAAATAGGTAAAATGACCAAAACGCCCCTCAGGCCAACGTCTCGGAATCGAATAATTTTCACATTTTTAGAACCCTCGTACTCACACGAGTCTAACCATATAAATATCTCCCAAATCGGAGGTCAAATGCCCACTCAAAACTCAATAGTATAGCCAATGAAGTTTTACCCCAAATTATCCAAGTTTTGGTCTAAAATTCGAATTCCAATAATGTAATTAGCTATATAATGATGAAATATAATGAAAAGGGATCAAGGAAATGTTACCCAATGATTTTCTCTTCAAAACCCACTCAAAATCGCCTTCTCCCGAGCTCTCAATCGATTTTCAAACTTATGAAATTAAACCCTCGAAATCGATATTTCTGAACAGTCATTTCCGCTTCTGAGGACAAGGGACCGCTTAGACTAGATTGACCCATAAGGGTGCCCCATTTCAGAAGCGGTTAATGGAGGATCGGGGCGTAAATTCCAAAATAGCAGAAATGAACTTAGGGGAAGCAGTTAATGGGGGATCGGGGCGTAAATTCCAAAAACGACCGGCCGGGTCGTTACATCCTCCTACACTTAAACATTCGTTCGTCCTCGAACGAGCATAGAGAACATACCTGAAGTAGTGAAAAGATGAGGGTACTGGCTGCGCATATCCTGCTCGGTCTCCCAAGTCACCTCCTCGGCCGGCTGACCCCGCCACTGAACCTTTACTGAAGCTATGTTTTTTGACCTCAACTTTCTGATCTGCCTGTCCAAAATAGCCATT